AGCGAGAATTAGGGGCGGGGCGTAGGAAGCCATGAACAGACAAGTTTGGGCTGCGGATGAGACTGTCAGGGAATCTACGCCATTCAGGTGGAATGATGCAGTGGCTCTAACTGTAGGCTTAGAGTCTGAGCCCCTGGATTTAATGTCTGTAACACCGGCTTCGCCACTTACCATGTGTTTTCTTAAGTTTAGTTACTTAATATCACTGTACCTCAGCATCCTGTTATAATGTTGTTATAACAATAAAACCTACTTCAGAGGGCTATGTGTTAAGTGGCATAATGCCCGTGAAGTCCTTAGTATACAGACTGGCATACAACATAAAGCAAAAATCAAAGCACACTGGGTATCATAACTATTCTAAGTTTTTAAAAAATATTTAGTAATGAACATAGAAATAGAGAATAAAATTGGGCATGAAGGCCGTATGCAACCTTGTATAAAATTCCTTACGAAAGTTTGCAGTTACATTAATTACTGAGTTGCCTAAGATAAAATAGTTGCTGATCTGTCAATAAAGAGGGAGTGACCTGGAGAATAGTATTTTTTATATCACTTATTCATAAAGTCTGCATTCTTTGAGATACTATACTTACATGTATCGTGTCCAGAAAATGTGGATGCTGGACTCACATAAATTTGGGAAATGCTGGATTAAACAAAATTAAACAGGTATGGCCTTAGAGCCTATACTAAATGCATAGACTACTCTGAGCCACGGCTTGCAAAGGAGATTTGTGGAAACCACAGGGTGCAGGTAATAAGGAACAGGCTGACGCAGATCTGGGTCTGCCTTTTGCCTTTGTCTCTTCCTATTGCTCTGGGACAGGTTCTTTATGTTTTCTGAGTCTTAATTGTATTTTCTATAGAACAAGGGGAAAGTACCTAATGTATGGATTTGTGGTGAGGATAAAAAGAGGTAATGTCAATAAAACACTTAGCACACTGCCTGGCATGTAAGTGCTCAATAAAATGGCTGTTATTCTTATCTGTCTGGTCTTTAGCAAGGTCACCTCTTGCCTCTGTCAATAATTCTTTCCTCAGACCATAAGCTTCTATTTGCTTCTTTTAAGAATAATTTTTTAGAGCAGTTTTAGGTTCATAGCAAAATTGAGAGGAAGGTACTGAGATTTCTCTGTTATCCCTTGTCCACATGCAAAGCTTCTACCTTAACACCCCACCAGATTGGTGCTTTTGTTACAACTGACGAATCTACACTGACAGTATAATCATGCAAACTCCATAGTTTAACTTGAGGGTTCATTCTTGTACATTCTACAGTCTATGACTCTAGACAAATATATACTGATATATATCACACATATCCACCATTATAGAATTACACAGAGTTTTCACTTTTCTAAAAATCCTGTGGAGCTTCTTTTTTGAAAAGTTTTATTGAGACATGATTTACATACCATACAATTCGCCTATTTATATTACAGTTCAGTGGTTTTTTAATATATTCGAAGTCATCCATTGCCAAATTTTAGAACATTTTCCTCATCCCCAAACTACATACCTATGCAGTCACTCCCTATCTCTCCCCCGTCTCCCCCATATCCAACTGAGGCAACTTCTCATCTACTTCGTATCTCTGTAAGTTTACTTGTTCTGGACATTGCATATAAATGTGATCTTTTGTGACTAGTTTCTTTTATTTTGCATGTTTTCAAAGTTCATCCCAATTGGAGCATTGCATCTGTACTTCATTCCTTTTCATAGCTGAGTAATAGTCCTTACAATAATAAACCATACTTTACTTATCTATTCACCTGTTGAAAGACATCTGAGTTGTTTCAACTTTTCTGATAGTATGAATAATGATGCTATGAACATTTTTTAAAATTTTCATATGAGAACATATGTTTTCATTTCTTTTGAGTATATACCCAAGGGCAGAATTTCTGGGTCTTATGGAAGCTCTATGTTTAACCTTTTAAGGAATTGTTGTCTAAAGTAGCTTGTTTATATTTCCGCAAAAACCCTGTGAGTGTTCCATTTTCTCCACATCCTCTCCAACACTTGTTATTACCTGTCTTTTTCATCTTATCTATCCTAGTGAGTGTGAAAAGGTACCATATTGTGGAGTTAATGTGCATTTTTTTAATGGCTAATGATGTTCAGAATCTTTCCATGTGCTTATTGGCCATTTGAATATCTTCACTGAAGAAATGTCTATTCAGAATATTCAGATCATGGTCAACATTTTGGGTTTTAAGAGTTTTAAAAAATATGTTCTAGATATATTACTTACTGGACATATAATTTGCAAATATTTTCTCCTTTTCTGTGAATTATCTTTTCACTTCCCTGATAGTATTGTTTGCAGCACAAAAGTTTTTAAAACTTTTTAACATAACTTATGGAAGTCCATATTTCAGCATTTATTTCCTACAGTAATATTGATCATGGGAGACTTGGCCTTGTACTTCACTGATGAAAGTGAGGCCCTCATCATGTAAAGATCCTCTACTCTTGACCCTTTCTGCCACACAGCTATAGACCTACATGGGCATCTGTTCTCACCTCTCTCCTCTGTCCATTGTCTTGAGAGGAGGAACACTTCTAGTCAGGATTAACAGACTAACTGGGTTCTTGCCCCCATCTTCTCTCTCGTAGGACACGGTTCCATCACTTAATCCCCATCTTTCTAGATATTTAACATTTCCCTAAGCCCGTGAACCAGCATAACTTTCTTTTTCCAATTTTGAGAAAAAGGAAAACTTCTCATGACCTGCATCCTCCAAATATACATCTATAGGCATATTCTTTACCTTGAACTTCACTTGGATGTTCTGCAGATATATTTCAACTCAGCATGTCCAGTTCTAAACTCCCTTCCCCACTCCATATCAGCTTCACTTCTTGTATTTCCATCCTCAGATAATGGCACCATCATTGCACTGAGCTGGTCTATGCAAACCTGCCCCAAGGGCTGAGAAATCTGAAAGCCTGAAGAAAGAGACTGATATTCCAGTTTCTCAGAAAGAAACATTTAGTAGGGACTTAAGAACAGAAGTTGTGGCTCAGTGCCTGTAGTTCAAGTGGCTAAGGCACCAGCCACATGCACTGGAGCTGGCGGGTTCAAATCCAGCCCAGGTCTGCCAAACAATAACGACAACTACAAAAAGTAGCCGGGCATTGTGGTGGTGGGTGCCTGTAATCCCAGCTTCTTGAGAGACTGAAGCAAGAGAATCACATAAGGCCAAGAGTTGGAGGTTGCTATGAGCTGTGATGCCACAGCACTCTACCCAGGGCGACAGCTTGAGATTCTGTCTCAAAAAAAACAACTGAAGCTATGTCTTGAATTTTCTGGGCCATAATGAAAAAAGACAGTAGATCCCTGCACCATTACATTACCCTCTAGACCAGGGGATATGTACCATAGGCAAGAAAAGTTGACCTCTAGGGGAAGGGGAAAAATGCTATGTGAATCTTCCTAAGAGAAGAATTTGTGGTCTAGTTTTTTTTTTTTTTTTAACCTAAGGACAGGAGTCATAGTAATAGTAGATAAATCTTAGAGGTAATCTCAAAACAGGGGTTAATCAGCAGTCAACATGGCAGATAAACACCTAAGACGGGGTTGCTTTATCCTCCACAATCATCCACCACTTACCCAAATCACACTAGACTCTCCCCTGTGCCCAATTCCCCATGTCCATAAATCATCTCAGCCTCATGAGTTTTATCTCCCATCTGTATCACACTGCACGTCACCATCTTAAACAAATGTCCTTGTTTTGTTATTTAGCATCTCTCCTTGAACTAATGTATAGACTTCTTTTTTAATTTAATGTAAGACTTCCAACTTGTCTTTCCTACCTCCACTTCTGCCACCTATTAAAATTTGTCTTCTATAATACATCAAGAGCAATTCAAACAAAACCTGATACTTTTTTATCATTCAAATAAAAGATGAGAATTGTCACCTTATGAAGTAACATGCATTTCTGGTTACGTGACTTTTGACAACTCTTTTATTCCTCCTCAGCCTCTGGCATCTCATTAGTGAAATAAAAAACAAATGATAATACTTAGTCTGAGAGCATTGTGAGAATCAGCTGAGAAAATATTTGACATAGTAGGTGCACAATAAATGGGAGCCCTTACTTACATGACCAGGGGATCATGTCATCTTCTGGAGCATCTCAGAGCCTGCAGAGAATACTGGACGTAAGTGACCCGTGGGAGGCCCAACTTAAAGTCAAGAGTATCTTGCAGAGCTCTCAAAAACAATGATTCTGGTTTCCTTCCCTATAAGATGAGACTTTGTAAAAACTAGAAGAAATAGTAAGACAGTGTACTAAGAGGGTGACTGGCATGGTATAGAAAATAAGCAGCAAAAAGCCTGGTCCGGTGGCTCACACCGGTAATTCTAGCACTTTAGGAGGCCAAGCCTAGAGGATTGTTTGAGGTCAGGAGTTTGAGAACAGCTATACAAAAGACCCTGTCTCTTAAAAAAAAGTAGAAAAATCAGCCAGGCATGGTGATGTGCACTTGTAATCCCAGCTATTTGGGAGACTGAGCCAGGAGGATTATGTAAGCCTAGAAGTTTGAAGTTGCATTAAGCTATGAGGACACCATTGCATTTGACACAGAACAAGACACCGTGTCAAAATGAAGAAAAGGAGAAAAGAAAGAAAAGAAAAGAAGCAGCAATAAATGCAAGGAGAACTAACTATGCTAAGAAACTAGCCCCTCTTTTGGGCTAAGCATTGCCCATTACTAACTTGCTAAAATCTGCTTTTTAAAAATTCGGTAATTGTCCTATCCAAGAGTGTGCTTTTGTTTTTCCTTTTTTGGTGCTAGTGATGTTTAAGCTTTCTCATTCTACAGGGTAGCTAGCAATAGAATAACAGAGTTATCTGGGGTGTCTGTTTTTCAACTTCAGTAGCAGTTACGCCCAACAGATAAAGTTGTGTTGACCTTTAGTTTTCAGAGGTCAGTTCAGCTTTCAACTTCCCAGTCACGGTATCTCTCTTTCTTGCTGAGTACAGGCTACACGGATCCCAGTTGCTCCTCAGAGATTCAGCAGGAGATCCCGATGGAGGAGGATAATACCCAGAGAGAGGAGCCCCAGGAAGATGGTGATGGTGATGTGCGCCATTTTGGTGAGAACTCTTTCAGCGTATACCTCATCATCAGAGGTTTTCAGTACATATTTACAAATATTCGCTCCATCATAGTGATTGAGAATGAGGTGACATTTTTCAGTATAAAACTGGGAGTCCAGAAAGCACCAGAAAGATGGCCTGAGGCTGGCAATCCCAGCCAGAACTTTGGTAACGTGCTAAGTCACTGTTTCTTACCTTGCTGAAGACATGCTGAAGTTTGATTTAGCCCAGGTGCAGAATGATAGGAAGACAAAAGCAGCCGACGTGGAGAGGTGTTTTCCAGTGATTCATCAGTCATTCAGGAATCCAAGCCCACACAAAAGGGGGTGTGATGGGGTACATAGAGAATGACAAGGAGTTTTTAGGCTCTATCAGAGTAGCTAACTCTACCGAGGAGCCTCCAATCCAACTACTCATAATTCACAGAATTTGTGGAGCTAGTTGAAATCCTAGCAAAGGGTTCCCCTGACACTTGAAAAGGAAAGAAATAGACTTACAAATGTATATTTCCCTCATTTTTTATTATACTTCAGATGATCAAGTATCAAGGGGGCTCAGGGCTATGCTTGGATATCTGGTTTCAGTCCCTCTCATCAGTGTTTCCTGTGGTCTCTCTCTCTCTCCTGTCTTACTCCATTACTGTGTTATGGAGGCTGGCAAGTTTGCAATCTGTGGGGAGTGTGTATTTTTGAGCAGACGCGGAAGATAAAAGAGAGAAATTGAAATACAATGATGTGAAACACTGGCACCTAACCAAAACAAGGCATGAACTTGAGGAAAGCTTTCTGGAGAGGATGATTTTGAAACTGACGATTTCTGGGTGAACTGTGGTTTTAAGGGAAGCAGTAAACAAATGTGGACACATGTGAATGTCTGAAAATAGTAAATTATGATTGCAACACTCCTTCCCCGCAGGAATAGGAAGGGGGAAATGTAAGCTACTATGTGGTAAAATAACCTAAACAGATGACTTTTTTTATGTTTGTTTATTTGTTTTGATACTAACCCAAGGATTCCGGGTTTATTTTATCCTAAGTCTCTGAGACGTTACTGAAGAATTCTAAGCATTGAAGTAATGTGATCAGACTTTTAGCAACAAAGCCCAATTCATGTGATTATTCAGTAAATATAGTATCAGTCACATATCAAGTACTGAGAGGTATTGAGGATATAACAGCAAACAAAGTCAAAGGATCTCTGCCCTCACAAAGCTTAGAATTTCATGGGGAGATGGTGGAGAAGGCTAATGAAATAATTCAAATTTGTAATTGGTACTATTGAGCTTGACTTAGGAGCTTATTGTAATTCCAGTGTCTGCCCATTCCTGCCCCATCCAGCCATCACATCCTCCCAAGCTTCAAATACTGAGAATTACCCAGTAACTGCCCCATAGTTTTCCCTCCATGGCCAAATGCACAGGACTTTGAATTTGATCCTTCCAGGCCCTCTCTACAAAATCCGGATCTTAGCGTTTACGCTGGGCTCTTCAGCTTCCACTGCTTGTGCAAGCCTTGCTTAACACGTGCCCATGGATTAGTGAGGTCCCATGTCTCCTTGACCACTGGGCTTGTCCCTGGCCCTCAAGAAGTCAGAGTTGAAAATACTAGGTAATAAGAGAAAGCAAAGGGGATGGGGAGAAGAGTATTATTGATAAATATTAAAGAGGTAAAATTGATATGATGTGGCCACAGGTTGGTAACAGGAGCTAAGGAAGAATGAGAGACTGAAGGAGTTTTCTGTGCTGGAGAGCTGGATGACTGGATATAAGAGAGTGCCCTTTACTCAATTATAGAATACAAAAAAGAAGGTGGGCTGAGGGGTGCACATGGGGGAAGGTGACAATGATCTGAACATGTTGGGCCTGCTGGGCACAATGGATATCACCCATATCACCATGCAGGTATATAGGATGTGATCCCACATTCCCCCTGTGTTTCCCTCAATCTTCCTCCTTTCTTTCAGCAAGAAAAGGAAGGTTTAATAACCACATACAACTTAGAGGAGTAGCAGCTGCTTCTTGGAAATCTAAAATGTTGGGTTTCAAGGCAGCTGCCTAGATCCTTGCTTCTTGGAGTGTTCTAGGTTGAAAAATGACCAGGCACCCCAAAGTAAGGCAAGCATGAAAGAAAGTTTATTGAGAAAGAGAAAGATAGGATTACAGAGTAAGAGCAAGATACTGGCTTACAGACCAAGATCCATCCTGGTCCTGCATAGACAGCGAATGGGGCCCTCATTGTCATGACAAAGAAAAGCAAGGAGGCCGCTCCTTCTTCCTTGTACTGAGGATTGTGGCAGCTGGGATGGAAAACAAGGAGCTGATATTTCCCATAGGATCAAAACATTCAACTATTTACAAAGTCATTGAGAATCTAACATGAAATATCAATGGCCCAAGTAAAACTTTTTTTGAGAACTGATTACCAGTGAATTATCCATGAAAGATATAATGCTCCACCAATATGGATTTTTCAAAGTCACCTGTAAAGACTTTCCCACCTGGATAGTCTCACTTTGACCTGGATGCAGGCCAAAACTAGCTTTTGCTACAGGAAATCAATAAATCACATCAGCGATTGCTTTGATTATATTGCTCATTGATGCTCAAGACACTAGAGAAGTTAGAGAAGTGGGAAGCGATTAGGCAATTCCCCCAACCCCCTTGGTCAGCACAGCAGTTGCTGAGAGATCCTCAGACCTTCCCTGGGAGAGGAGACAGAAAGAGCACCAGAAAGTTCTGCTGGCAGGCCTGGGGTAAAAGGAGGAAAACACACCCTTCAAACATACTGTATTTATATTTGCTTTGTGACTAGTGAATTTATTTCAATACGATCATGCAGCGCATAGCAATGGTTCAGTCAGTGATGGGTGGATGTACAGTGGTGCCTGTATGATTATAATGGAGCTGAAAAATTCTTATCACCTAGGGACACTGTAGTCATGGCATTGTAGCACTTTACCTTTCTTTTCTATGTTTAGATACACGAATACTTCTCACTGTGCTATAACTGCCTACAGTACAGTAGCATGCTGCACACGCGTGTAGCCTAAGAGCAATAGGCTATACCCTCTGGCCTAGGTCTATGCCACACAGGTTTGTGTAAATGCTATGAGGTTTACTCAATGATAAAATCACTTACTGACACTCAGAACTTACCCCTGTCATTAAGCAACATACAACTATAGATGAAACTTTTCAATTGTGCGTTGTTGGGTTGCTAAGCCTTTTCATAAGACCAACTTCAATACTGACATTAAATGTGCAGTAGAACCACATACGCATTTTAAAGTTCTGGAGTTCTTATGACAATTTTGTATACAAAATGCTAATACTTTAAGAATCAACCTCTGGAAATCAATAGAATTTCTCTTGGTTCCAATTTAAAAGACACAGCAAGTGAATTTTAATCATCTTCTTTAGGCATATTTATAACTCACAGAAATTCCTGGTTCTTGGGGATTGTGAGGAATTCAAATGAATCAAAAAGACCTGCACTGGTCACAATATCACTGTCACCATCAGAAGTAAATGCTTCAAACACTCATTTAAACTTACGAAGCACTAACACTAAATCTCTAGTGAGAGCTAAGTGCTATATAATAAAGTTTTCATTAGTTTTCTTTTTAATTCTCCTGAGAGAAGCAATGAAAGTATACTCATAAAGTAGAGCATTAAAAAAAGGTCAAGTAAGTATCCCTGAGCCCCTGGAGACAGACTTAGCTAATTGGAATATTGTCACCGAATTTCTAGTCCAATGCTGACCCAACATAACAAACATACCTCTTCATACTGCTTTCTTTCTTAAAAACTTTTTTCTGTACTTTAATGGATGCAAACTTGCTTATTTCTGTGAGAATTTTAGGATCTGTGACTACAGAGTTATGATAATATGAAAAAATGATAGTAGTCAGGAGTGAACAGAGAGACTTAGTATCTTAACTGGGGCCCTAATGACTGCTCAGTTGGGCAGCCTTAATTTGGGGCTGATGTTTTCTTTAATATAGGAGAGAGAATCAGTAGGGCTTTACTGGAGTCTTTCTATTTTTATTTTTTTAGAGACAAGGTCTACAGGTCTTACTCTGTCACTCAGGCTGGAGTGCCTTGGCACAATGACAGTTCATTGCAGCCTTGAATTCTTGGGCTCAAACTATCCTCCTGCCTTAGTTTCTAGAGGAGCTGCAACTACAGGCCCAGGCACTTTTTTTTTTTTTTTTAACAACAGTGTCTCACCATGTGGTCCAGGGTGGTCTCGAACTCCTGGGCTCAAGTAATCCTCTTGCATTTGCCTCCCAAAGTTCTGGGATTACAGGTGGACAACACAGTGCCTGTCCCCTGACCTTTCTTTTTTTATTTTTGTTTTCTTGTTTTTCTCCATGTGTCCAAGGTATGAACCAGGCATGGGCACAGACTAAAAGCCAAGCTGGCATAAATAGGGGGTTGCTTTGACTCTGGCTGAGATGAGACAGGACCACCAGCCGATTACCTAGGACAAGGACACACCACTTATATCAGGGCCAGGACTGTTTTTCCCTAGCACTGGGACATTAGTTTTATCGTATACTCAGTCATAGATGTCTATTAGTTTGAAAAGGGAGACATGAATGGTTAGTCCATTGGCACAGTTAGGCAGATAGTGTGCAGAGGGCAACAGGATGCATATACCGAACAACAAAAACAAAAAGGGCCTTGATAACAAAAAGGTTTAGAACCACTAACCAAGGGGAGAAAAACCCAGAGCTGCCTTGGTTCTCCACAGAGGAGGAGTTCCTGGCACCTTAGGGGCTGAGCCCTTAGGTTTCAAGGCTGAAGGAAGTCTCCCTTTCACCCTCTGGGGTCTGAGTACCGCCAGGAGAGGGTTTTCTTCTCCAGCCAGAGGGACCCCCATGCCATAGGGTTCCACAAAGGCAGGGGCAGGCCTAGAGGAAGGAATCATCCCCTAGGTGGGGATGGGAATCGAGGGGATTCCTTGCATCAGCAGCTGCCCAAAGCAGACTCGGGG